TAGTAGATCCATACTAATTTTAACATCACTTTTAATTAGATATTATCTCATTGCAACTTAAATACGTGTAACTTATTGAACTAGAAATTAATGGATCTGCAACAAAGAACAAGACCGTCAAATTTTTTGCATATGATTTGGTTGATTGATTTTTGACAACAAGCAAGAGGAGAATCAACACCTTTATGTTGATTTGCTTCCCTTCTCTCCTAATAGCTTAATAAATCACCACAAATTGCATGTATATCTCTATAGAAGAACTTCTACTACCATTTTCTCTACAGAAAGGATAGCCCTACTTTCCAAACTTGCTAAAAAAGCATTGAGTTCAAACAACTAAAAATTCTATGCACTAGTGATCAAAGTGATACTAATCTTCATTGTACTTAGATAACTTGCAACGTTGCAGGGATTTATAGATAAGTCATGTCTTATAAAATGACCCAACGAATTTTGTGCCTAGGTCTTATTTTCTTGTACAATGGAAAATATTTTCATGGTTTCTATGATTCATTTCAAGTGACAGTACAAAATAAACCAGAAATAGATGGAAATATACAATGATTGCATAAGAAACTTATAACAAACAACTAAAAATTGCAATATACAAAGATTGCAAGGGAAAAATCATCAAATGAGGTGCTATCATAAATAAATATATTCTATAAATTTTTAAGATTAACTAACGGGCGTTTGGTCTAGTGGTATGATTCTCGCTTTGGGATGATTGCATAAGAAACTAATAACAAACAACTCAAAATTGCAATATACAAAGTTTGCAAGGGAAAAATCATCAAATCCTTGAAATTTTTTTGCAAAATATTCATATCATAATTTTTTCTTCCCATCCAAAAATCTCATACAAAAGAATTGAGGAAACATGAAAACCCAATTTTTGATAGACAACACCACCAAGTTGTTTCCAACACTCATTTATAAAACCATCTAAAATCTAAAAGGATCATAAAATATTTCAGAGAAGAGTCTAAGAGAGAATATATCTGAAAATTGGAAGCAAGACAAACCCTAGTTTCTGTTTGGAGACCGAAAGAAGAGACGAGAGTCACAAGAGCAACAACATTAAGTACCAACTGTAAATGACCGAACAACAAGAGAGGAGAAAAATCCAACTTTCAGCTTTCGCACACTCATTGGATACTCCCTCCTTGCACTCGAGAAGAAATGAAAGATTCGCTCGAGAAGACAGGAAGAGAATGGCACTAAGAGAGGCGGCCAAATGAACGACAAAATGAGCAATTAGGTTTAGGGCAAAGAAGCACATGTGTCTTTTAACAATATAATGAGAGATTATTTTTTTAATTTATTTTAATAAAAGTGAATAACTTAATATATTTTTTATTTTAATTTTTTGTTA